AAATTTATTTTAATCGTTTTCCTTCTTTCTATTTATTTCTGCCTGTTTGGGTTTGAGACATAGTTGGTATTTATGTGTTTATTGATAACATGAATGAACAAAGAACTTTGAGGCAGTTGGTTGTCCCAGATGTGAACTATAATTATTTACATATTGACTATCCTACAGATGATGCACCTTTTGAATTGAAATCTGATTTAATATATTTGTTGTCAAAGTTTAATGGTTTTGCAGGTGAGGATCCGCATAAGCATATGAATGCATTCTAGGTTGTGTACTCTGCACCTTCTGGGCCTTCACTAGAGGATATTGTCAAACAAATTGCTGCAAATAATCTCCAGTTTGACAACAAATAGATTCTACTCTCCAGACTTTGCAAACACAGATCGAACAACTTGCCTCTTTGATGAATATCATGCAACAAGCTCAAGGATCTAACCAATAACCCTTGGAAGAGAATTTTGTTTTTCCAATAGAGTTTCTTTCTGAGACTGTTGATGATACTTGTACTGATATATTTGTAGCTGATTTTCCATCATTATCTGATTTTGATGATGTTTACTCTTGTGATGTTTGTACTGATATTAAAATCTGCTTTGTTTGTGCTGAAATTGAGGTTGTCTTGCAAGTTGATATTCTTACTGCAGATGAGATTGCAAATGAAGTTGTTCATGTGGAAGAAGCTCTCGATACTCCGACTGCCCAAAACAAACCATCCATTAAACAACCACCTTCCCGAGAGCTGAAAATAATTCCTGAAAATCTTAATTATGCTTATCTAGAGATGGATGAAAAACTCTCGGTTATAATTTTTTCTAAACTTTATTTTGATCAAGAAAGTAAAATTTTGCAGGTTTTGAAGAAGTATAAGAAAGGAATTGGATGGACCTTAGATGATATTTATGATATTAGTCCGTCCATGTGTATGCATAGGATCTCACTTGAAGATGTAGCAAAAGCAGGGAGGCAGTTCCGTAACCTTTTGATCCTTGATGTTGTGAAAGATAAGATCACGATCACGTGCCCATTCAACACTTTTACTTATCAAAGATTCTTCTTTGATCATGGAATAAAAGGAAAAGGCACTAATAAAAATTTCAATTTCAATGGACATTACCCAAAGCTACTCTATGAGAGCACCACTTTGGAAGAAGAGAATGTAGAAGATCTCTCTTTGGAAAAAAGCTGCTTATGTGATCATCTATCCTCCTTGAATCTTCGGGTATATTCTTTCCTCTCTCTCCTCTCTCTTATTTTATGCTTGTTTCTTTAATTGAGGACAATGTGTGTTTTAAGTGTGAGAGAGGGAATCATTTATTTGTTTTGTTTTCTTTGCTTTTGTTTGTTGTTTTATTTTTAATTATTATTTAAAAAATGTATCTTTTTGAAAGTTTTGGATTATAGATTAATCTGAGGTTAATTGTGGAGACTTGGGAAAAGTTCTCAAGATCGTATCGTCTTAACACCGTAAGTCTCCTGTATATGGAAATGAGTTTGAATAATTATTATGACATAGCCTTGAATTCTCATTCTCTGACAGCTCTTGAGTAGTTTATCTTAGTAGTCAGCACCATCTCACACATGCTCTACGTAAGGAAGCCGATGAATAAAGTGAGTGATCTAGGTTTTATTTGAAAAAAAAAGGGAATGCACCTTCTAAGTTTGGTAACTCTCACCCGGTCACTTAACCCAACGATTGTGGAACCTACAAAATTTGATTATCAGACCCGTTGTTGGTTGGTTCAGAGGTTCCTGGTACTGAACTTGGCAGAGCGGATTACGGTCCGATTCCCCACAACTACAATTGGGTAAGCAAATGGTTATACCACTCATGTACCAGAACCCCATGCAAAAAAGATCAGAGTCACTAACCGGTCGTCTTACTATGAATGTGTGGAGATAACGGGTTTAATGTGATTGCGCCAAAATAAAAGAGAGCAAAAAGGAGGATGAGTAAGTTAGACTTTGACATAATAACATGATTCGAATTGGGTTGTATATTCAGGAAGCTTATGACTGCACAATTACAATGTAGTGTTCCTACGATATCCTAAGTGTGCAAGATTAGTACCTATCGATGCAATCCTAACCGAATAAGAGTTTGTGGCCTGGAATGAGTAACTGATGATGTTGTTGCGTTTCTTGAGTTTTGATTTTATTTTTGCTCGGAGTGTAAAAGTTTAAGTATGGAGAAATTTGATCAGTGCATATTGATGCACATTCTCTTATGTTTGTACTTAGGCATTTCCATGGTTTGTTTTGTTTATTTTTCTATTTTATGATGTTTTTATAATTCAGTTTATTTTTACCTTTAATTGATTTTCGTATTTTATTTTCAGCATTAACAGCTTTCAATGAAAAATAACAACTGGAGCTTCGGGAATCTGATCAGCACGTTCTAATAATCGTTGGAAAGATGAGAGAAAGATCTATAACTTTTATTTTGGATTCAGAAGCTGATTCAGAGTGTATAATTTCCAGTAATTCGTTGAAGTTTCAGATGTTAGAAAATAATTTGTTTCGGGTCATTTTATGGACCTGATTTATGTTCCGATTCAATTTGAGTTAGTAGTGAAAAATCCTGTTTTGTTTATAAGATTTTCAGCCGTACTACAAGAAGAAAAATCATTTACTTTTCACGATGGAAACTTTGACTTGCACGCTTGAATGAAGAAATAATCATTCAGAGTTGATCTATTGTAATCGCGTTCCGATGCTTTGAGGTTTTTAATTTATCAATTCGATTTTGTTTCTCTTTCAATTCTATTTTATGAAATTGCATTTGCTTAATATGTTATTTCATGGAATGTCTTGATTAAATTCGTATGATTGTATTCCTAATCTTTAATCGTTATTTACGTCGCTTAGTCGTTAAATCGCGTTCTATATCGTGTTTGCTTAATTCACGTTTGTATTAATCCGTTTGCTTAATTCAGAATGAGAATTCAATCTATTTTATATCTATTGTGTTTGTCAATTGGTATTGAAATCGAATAGAGGTCGAAGTCGCTTAGGAAATTAGTAAGGTAAAAATCAATGATTAGCATGAACATGAAAACAAAAAATTACCTTATTTTTATAATCACTTATTTTAATCACTTGTTTGCTCAGCGTTTTAAAAATTGATCCTGAATTAAATTCCCCATAACCACTTTTGTTGGTTAATAAGAATATAAGAATCCTCGCGATACGATATTCGAATCACTGTCGTTAAATTACATTTTTTAAAATAACTCGTTTTTTATTCGTATGCGACAGTGGATCACTCCCTCAAAATATTTTTCCTTAATTTATCTTGATATTCTTAAATAACTTTTTTGAATTCATATAAAAGTAAATTAAATATACTATATAAAAAAATAATATATTCTGGTTAAGACACAATTATCCTTTGCTCTAATTAATTGGTCAGTCGCTTATAGCATGTCCATAGAATTATTCCAAGTAATTAAATTTGCACTGAAAATAATTATTGATTTGTTGTTTTCCAAGAAAAATATGTTGATATTCTTGCCAAATGCACTGGATTTAAACTTAATGGTATTACCAATGTATAATTTCTTTTCATTTTCCAACCTAGATAAAGAAATTGAGAACGTGATGTGAAAGTTGAGTTCAGCTCTCACTCTATTCTTCAGCGATGTTTCTCTCTCTTTCTTCCGCTAAGCTATTATTCAAATCCTCTCTAAGCTTTGTAACCCTAGTTTAAATCTGTATTGTGTATTCCTAAATAAAAAATAACATTCCCCCTCTCATATTTTTCAAATTTTTGTTTTAATAGAGTTTTTGAATTTTTTTTGGGTTGGAATTTTATAATATTTCTTGAAAGGCTCATATATATTTGTGAAATTTATGTAATTTATGAAAACAATTATTCATCTTTCATATATATTTGCGCTTCTACGCTGTAATGATTAACTGATAAGGAAGATCAATAGATGCAAACTTCATTTGAAAGAACCATGATAGCCATATAATTTTTTTGTGTACGTTGTGCAGTTTTATTTGGACATGAAGTTTGTTGTGTGTTTTGCCTCCAACGGTCGGTATTTGTCAAGGAATTTGCAATGAATTGTCAATGAAATTATAACAAAAGGCAATGACAACATTTTCTGCTACAGGCTTGGATCAATATGGGTAGGAAAAAGTTGATGTTTTAGGTTGGAAAAAGTTGAAAACGGTTGATGTATTCATTTACTGTAAAAATAATAATGAAGATTCTACCACATGATTTGTCCATTTTTGAAGAATGTAGAGATTTTCTTCTACTTTACCCTCACGAAGCAACTATCGAAAATATATAATTTGATGTTTTGTCTTTTGGTGGAAAAGTGAAATTGTGATCTTGGACAAAGATAACATTTCTTCAGCTATGATTATGTTAATCATTTTAATGTTAAAATCTATCCACTTTGTATCTAGTATAGACAATCCTATAGATACATACTATACTGAAATTTTCCACTTTACACTTCCAGCACTTCATTCCACAAGAATTTCAAGCTTCTCATGTAAACTCTATCTTCCAACGTAGTGGTTTCAAACACAAGTTAAAGTACCACATATTTTAATAGATCAATTAGTCTTAAATATTTTTGAGTTAATTAAATATATACTAAAAAGTTCAAAAAATGTTAATAAAATATTTATAACAGTGATTAAGATTTGAGATGATTTTTTTTTTTAATTTAAAAATGATAACAGAGTAACTTATTGTTTTTATTCCTTTAAAAAGTTTTTCACAGTTTATCTTTCAATTCTGAAACGTATCAATTTTAATCTTTATAGCTAATTCAGTCTGTCTAACTATACCCAGTATTTTCTTGGTTTATTCTTCTGAATTGAGTAATGTATAAACTTTGATTCTTATGAAAATGTTGCTTGGGAAATTGGGAGCTTAAGTTTATCATACAAGATTAAATTGTGAAATACAGTGTGAATTTTTATAACAGAATCAGTAACAAATATTTATCATTCCGCACAAGTTAGATACATACAAATTAATTCATCAGAATGGTTTCAAAACAATGTAAACCATCAAGCTGTGGTGCCATTTTTGGATTTTGAATTGTCTTCTCATGATCTTTTACTTGGGGCATCATTTTGCTATTGGATAATGAAAATTCTTTTTTGATTTTCTACATATAATAAAAAAAACATATTGAAATTCATGTATGAACATCTAAAGTAAAGCATAAACATTTATTTCCTTGACATAGCATGATGTTGTTCAATGTGTGATATAGAGCAATAGATAGAACCATTTCATACCTTAACATGGTTTGTGTCTATGAAATAAAATCCAACAGCAGCAGCAAGAGCAGGCACAGCTACATAAATACTTCCCGTAGCCATTGCTATCCCTTGAAAGCTTAATCAACATTTAGCCATGAAGCAGCATTATATGGCATGTGTGAACAGATAGAATATGCCTTTGCAATGAAGAGAAGCAAAGCAAACACAAAAAGTGGTCTATAAAGTGAGGATATGGGATTGCACTGCCTTGAATTAAGTGAAAGGGAAACTTGGAATGAAAGGAACTTTGGAATTAGTAATATCAAAGAAAACCTTCCTTTATTCTATGTTACTTCAGTGTCAAGCCACTGTTTTCCCGAAATATGCTTTAAGAAATTACTTTCTTGTTACAAGGTATGAACGCGGAGACCCCAAGGCGGGCTGGGGGTAGCCTTAGGCCCCAAAACTTTTTTGTAGTAATTGTAGCCATACACTTAGATGGTGTCGGGTGGACAAAAAGCCTAGGACCCACCCAAGATTCGATTTTTTTATCCGAATTTTGATGAAACAAACAGTTTCAATTGAATGTCGGATGAAAAAAAAATGAAAATCTTGAGTACAACGTACAACTGGCCTGTATTGATCGGACCTTTATTTATTATGTCTTTGTTAGTTTCATCTAGTTGAACCCAACCGATAAGCCCGCTACATGAGAGAACCACCATCAGATCAGATGAAACTGAAACTCTAAACAAACGAGATTTGATTGATATATTAAATTCGTCGGCCTTGTTCGATGGACAATTATTGGCTCGAAATCGTCTGGCACCGAGTGTTGACCACCCCTAAGTGTCAATATAGCCAATTTAAAACTCGACCCATTTTGTAATCCCGTTTTAAAACCTTAACTCTGTAACTATGAGATGCAACCTAAGAGGGGGTGAATTAAGGTTGTCCGATTTTTATCAATTTTGCGGTATGATCTTAATTATCTTTGTGCTATGTTCTTCGCAATAAAAAGTGCAGAAATTTAAAGTGCTGGAAAATAAATGAACATAAGGAATTATCCTAGTTTCTCTAATCAACCAAGGGTACATCCAATCCCTTCACACCTTGAAGAATTTTCCACTATGTTATATCTTTGTACAAGCCTCACACCAAGATCTCTCTTACAATCTTCTAACATAAACACCAAACTTATGATGGATTTTGAATCTCCCCGAATCAAAGGACCTTTTACAAAATCATCAAACACTATGATGATTCTCACATAAACCATAAAGAATACTATTTTTTATTTACAACACTTAGGAAGCTCACCATTTTCTATTACCAACACTTAGAGAAAACACATCACTTTCTTCTACAATTGATTGTCACCACATCTTGGTGATCAAGTTACAACAATATGATTAAAAAGATATTTTGAGTAATAATGATTTTAAACACTTTCTAAAATTCAGAAATTTGATCTTCCATTTCCAATAAACAATTCACAATTATATATAACTTAAGATTTCATGAAGTTTGTGATTGAATTGTTTGAAAATTTGAATGAAAGAGTTTATTGTAAAAACTGATGTATTTTGCCTTAAATACATCCTATGATGCCACTTAGATTTGATGCAATGATTTAGGAGAAGTTCCATGAACATATAGATTGTTTGAATCAAAATATTTTTCAAATGTTTCCAGGGAGCAATAGATTGTTTGAATCGTGCAATCGATTGTCACCTTTGTAACGTTCAAATTTTTCAGTCAGATCCTGTGAGTGCAACTTCACCATTAGACGTTTTACATGATGTCAAAACTAATAAATCTTAACATTAATATATATTGGTCGATATCTCTATGTCATGTGTCACTCCCTTGCGTTAGAGGTCTTGGGAATCATTAAAAATCACTTTGAAATTGACCAAAATCTTGAAAATCAATTTTCTGCATAAAAGCAGTTTGAATGTGCCGGCACTGTTGTACCCTAATTTTGCCCCTAAGATCCCTTCATCATACCATATTGATTCAATCACAACAAGGTCACATTAGGGATTTTGGTTCTCCTTCCTATCTCTATCTTTGCTCTTTGAGGAATCACCAAACACTTTGACTTGTTTTTCTTTTGTGATCATGCATGTTTTATTTTGATTTTCCTTTTAATTAATAAAATACAATATTGGTTTGTCTTACTTGTTAATAATGTAGGTAAAGGCAATGTGGCTTAGCAAGTTAATCCATGGGCTCATGAGTTTATTTCCATGCCCTAGTTAATAAAACTTGAGAAATTCAAACCTCATCATTGAAGTTATGTTGGAAGAAATGGAATGGAAAGGTTTATCTTGGCTCACCATATTTCAAAGTTATCAAGATTGATTCAAAAGTACAAGGGGGTTGATTGAAGAAGTTGTCATGTTTAGACAAGGCTTTATTCCCATTGGTCACAAGTGCACATTTCTCTCAATTCTCAAGATATGAAAGTAGTTTTGGTTGCTATGAGTTCTCATTATCATCCTCAACAACTTCTATTTACAAAGCAAGAGTGTTGGTATAATAAGTTTATTTAAAATTGTCAAAGTTCCTCAAAGCATTTTCTTGATCTAGGAGCTAGGGTTTTGAACTTCAAAGAAGCATATATTGCTCATCTTTTGATATTTTTGAGTGATTCCAAAAACATACTTCTCTTCAAAGGGTTATTAACCAATCAATTCAAAAGTTTCAAGGAGTTTTCATATGGAAGAAACTTAATATTGAATATAGATTACAAGTCCTCCAGATAAAACCCCAATTTCCCATGTATGACTTCAAATGATCATAACTTGGTCAATTTTAATTACCTTGAGCCCACTCTTTTTCCATAATTATCTTGATGATGTGAACTTTATCCCTTATTTTATGTGCAAAGTGAGAAAATGGATGGAAGATGTCCTAAGGATACAAAAGATTATAGGCCATTTTATGATTTTTTGCCAACTTCAACAATTCATAACTCTCTCAATTTTTGTAGATTTTAAATGGTTCAAGTTTCAAAATTTCATTCAATAGGTCTATTTCATGCCATCTTTTTTGGTCAAGAGCAAATTCCAAGTGGAAGACCATGTTTGGATGCAAAATATTATAGGTCACTTTTGAAGAAAAAATTGAAATATTTCTAAGTATGGAAAGTCAACTTTTTCCCAAACTTTGACTCATTAAAACTTTCAGCTCAAGCATCCATTTGATTCCATTCTTTTCCCACTGCAAAGCTTGTAATCTCATGTTTCTAAAGCATCAAGAATCATGTCTTAAGACCCCTTGAGATGAGAATGCCATTGGATTGAACTTGGTAACTTGGAACTGAAGTTTCTTCATAAGTCCGAATTTGAAATTCATGTTTTGGATTCTAAACATCAAATTAGCACGCGTTTGTGATCTAAACATGTTTAACTAAGTTGCCAAAATGGATTAGAGCCTTAAAACGCAAGGATTGAATGAGTTTTGATGCAAAACAGATCACACCTTACTGGTGTAGCAGGTTCACACGATTTCCCTTCAAACTTCATCATTTTACACACTTGAACATTCTATTTGATTCCCTATAAATAGAGGGTCATCCCTCATTCATTTCCTCAAGCTTGAGCAGTCAGAATCACCCTGCCAAACTTGCTCCATAACTCAATTTTCTGTAACTTCGAAATCAGTGTTCAAGCCTTTTTCAATCCAATTTTTCCATCAATTCATCTTCCTTGATCTTTCCTGAAGCTAACCATACAATTACCTTCAAGAATTGTGCCCTATATTGATCCATAGAAGTCCAGTTTCAGAGCTCTGCAACTCAACTTCAATAGGTAGATTTCTCCATCAATTCTTCAAAACTTTGATATCATTGTGAAGCTCTCATTGCCCTGGTTCTAGTTGTAACACTTGTTTTTATATGGAAACACGTTTTGACCATAAAATTTCAAATCCCTTTTCAAAACTCTCCTTCCAAATTGCTTGAGCTACATTTTATATAAATTTGTCGCGAGGGTGTGGTTGTCTTCGTCTTGAAGAAACGAAGCGAATGGTATAGGTTTGAGCTTCTGATTTTACATTTTAAGAGACCTGCAATTCACGTTGGTTGGAGGTTAAAGATGACCAACGTGTCATCTTCCAACCAATGATGGCTTGCCACTTGTTTTTTTTTTAAAATCTGATTTTACATTTGATTCAGTGCTTTATTCACTAATGAACATGATACACACAGCGCGCCAGATCCCTTGGATTTGATTACTAACGCGTTTTGACTCTCATCCAATGGTCCACATATTTTTGACTTTATTTTTATTTTCTGATTTTTATATTAATTATTTTAAATTTCAAAAAATCATAGAAAATTCATTTTTAGTCCAAAAAATCTGAAAAAATTATGAAAAATATTTTTGATTTTTCTCTTTCTGATTTTTATTTTTTCACAATTTTATTTTGTGTTTTGATATTTTTTTATAAAATTTCACTTTATCTGAATTGTTTTAAATGTTTAAAAATACTTTCATGCATTTTTAAATTCTAAAAAAATATGGAATGATCCAATGATATTGTGACAAATATTGGTGATCTCATTTATTTTTTATTTCTGACTTTGGTATTTTGTTTAATCATTTTGGGTTTATTTTACTCATTTCTTTTAATTTTAAAAATAGTTTCTGACTTTAAAAAATTACCAAAAGTTTTATAAAAATATTTGAGTTCATTTCTGATTTTTCTACGGTCTTACTTAATATTTCTAGATTAATTTGAACATAGTTAATATTTTTATCCCTTATTTCTATTTTTAAACATTTTAAAACCCTTTTTTTTATATATATATTAAATGCAATATTATTTTGTGATTATTTTCTGGCTGATCTTGGTTTAAATTTTTGACCATAAACTTTATTAACATCATTGGATCCATGGTGTTGAGCCTAACTCCACAAAAATGGATGAATAATTTTAATAATAGTTTGATTAAATTTTAATTCAAATGTGGTTTATATTCTTTCTCATCCTTCTTCATCTCATCTCTTTCTTATTGCACCAAGTGTTATTGGAGCATGATCTTTATATCATGTCTCAAAACAAATAGTGCATAGATTTCTATTGACCGACCTCAAAATAGGTGCGACTTC